TCCCCTTCAGAACTGGGTGCGTGTAGTGCTTAACGTACATGTTCTACTTCTTTTTTGAGTTCAAACGAGTGTTTTTAAAGTAATCCCGTAGAAGCGTAGGTCCTTTTGGCAGATCCTTGGTATTCGATCACTCACCACATTCGCTAACATAACTAGTGATTCCTCTAACCATTTTGTGTCGAGTTTCAGAAGAATAGTTGGTTTTGGATTGCGGTGGTTCCATTAACTCTAGAGAAGGAAGGTGTACTACGAAGTAAAGGGAGTCGTGGGTTGAAACCAAGGTTTTAGGCCTGGATGGTCATCCAACTCCAGTTGCCTTGCAGTAGGCAATAGTCAGCTCATACCACGAAGAGCCTGAGCTCAGGGTTGTTGGGGGGCCTAACATAGCTCTCTAGATATGGGAGACGTGCACTTGGATCGTTGGAAGCGACCACGGTCTAGTCCCTCATGATTATGAATAAGAAAAAAGGACGTTTCTTAGGGTATAGGGTGAACAAATGGCTTCAGATTGGGTGAAAAGGGAATTTGGTTCAGGTAATGGAAACAATTTCGACGTGGGAGATCTCCTTTCTCGCCTATCAATAGGAATTCCCCAGTTGGTACACAATCAGCCTCATTTCCAAGGCCTTGGCTTGAGTGTACCAGACCAAGTTGACCAGGAGGATAGGCTCCATAGCGGATGCGACCGGTGAAAAGGCAACGTTACGGTTGGCTAGCTGCAAATTGGCTGCGGGATTCGGGTGAGCTAACTGCTGCTCCAGGAGTTTTTTCAACAACTCTGGACGAGTTACTTCATCGGCATATTTGGTTATTTTCCCGCTTCAGTCCAGCCATATCTGGCCTGGTCAGCTTCTGCACTATTAACATCAAACTTGACATGATTATCTTTACTTCTGTATAGACCTCAGTTTGGATTCCTCGTGTGGGGGTATTCGTCTGGAGAGGGAGCGTAACCGGGAACTTTGGAAAAGGCTATGGATGCATTGCATCTACTTTCTTTCCCTGGACGTATTTTCCTGCGAATGTGTTGATGGAGATTACAATAGCAACCATTTGCCCTAGTAACCTGTTCCTCAGAGGGACTTTTCTCGTCAGGCATTATCTGCCGCAGTCTATTTCATGGACCTGGGTAATAGCCATGAAATCTGATGACAGTGGAACAAGCTGGAGTACGGTGTGGAGTAGCACCAGGCGCCTTGGTGTTGTCTAGTCCCCAATGAAAGACGTCTTTCCTACAATCCAATTTTGAAACGGGTCAAGGAGCACAGGATCATCTATACCCCCGAACTTCTCCCACCTCTTCCTCCATCCGTTCTGCTCTGTCTTGACTGGTTTTCCTTTTCCCATACTTCACTGCAGGTACGCGGTATTACCTGGTCTTTAAAGATTACAGTCTCATCTCTAACCCATTTCTTTTCCTGGAGGGGATGCCATTCGGGAGCGCACCTCTCGGGATCGTTCGGTAGAGTTGTTTTTGCTGTGTTTTGTCTTCATCACAGCGCTGTGTAGTCCTTACGGTCTCGGTGTTTTCAATAGAAACTGAAGCAGTTGTCGCAGATGATGCTAGCCCAATACATATGTTCTGTGGATCGAACTCTGTTCCGGCCCTTTCCCCCATCGATCGCCTGATTGGAAACAGATGTGTCTGGGAGTGCAGAATACTAATCATCTGCGCCTCAGCACATGTTGTGAAGTAAAATGCACGTCCAGATGGCTGTTAAATTTTGTATGGAAGTCGAATACATGGCGCAAACCGAGGGAAAGGTTCACTGGTTCCAAGAACCAAGGGATTTTCAGCTATCGATGTGACAGAAACCCTCTTTTGCTCAAAATGGGACCTCCTGACGGGACTGCTTGGAACCAAAACAAGCTAACAAAGTGGTTTCTTCTGATTTTCTAGCCTAACGATCGATTTTGATCGATTTTCAGTTGTTACTAGTTTCCTCCCAATCAATGGCCTTGTCGTTTAGGCCAGCGGGACTATTCTCTTGAGAAAATCCTTGAAAATCGATTTTTTTTCAGAAAAACCATCGGTACCACGGAATCCGTCCTTGTTAATTACACAAGTACAGAAGAATGGTACTACTACAAATGGTAATTCGATTGCGGATGCTACCACCACAAATGACGACTTCCGAGCAGTCGTTACAGCGTCTCCAACGATTCTGTCGGATTCGGTGAGTCCTAGGCGATTTTTTGTTTAGTTCTCATGTATCTGATTACGGTAAATTTTTTAAAAATTCAAAAATTGGCACAGCTTTGTTGGATCGATAGAAGTATGGCTGTTTCATCTCGGGAATTATTCAACAGGTCCCTCATAAATTCGTAAAGTTTACGCAATTTGATGACTCATTTTTCTTAAAGTTTAATCAGTTTAAAGTCTTGGAATGCTTTAACCCTCATGCCCTTGAGTCAGTGCTCACCAGCGTCACGAGGGTTGAGGAATTCCGGGACATACAGCAACACTTAAAAAACCTAGGAAAAATTTTGCAAAAAAAGCCATTTAGTGAAAAATGAGTGTAATCTGTGGGCTTCATTCCTCATTCTGGTCGACTACTATTCACAATCATCTTCGAAAGTGGATGGGAGACGGTAATTTGTCCCACTGAGAGAAAGGATGGACCACCTTTTTATTATTTATTACATGCTTGCCTGGTTTTCCATCTTCCCCTCTTTTAGTTGATTCTAGTTGGTAAGGATGGAAAAGAGCAGTCTGTCCGCCGATCCTTCTGTTGGGCACAAATGCGACAAGACATCTAGTCAGGAATCGCCGCTCGCTATGGATGGATCGGGATTACCGCTACAAAGCCCTACTTTTGCCAGACTTTTCTTTCTCTGAGCCTTCAGCTCGACCCTCGACATCCTTTTTGCATTGTAATGTGCCTCGAACGGTCGTCTGTTCCCGTGTTTGGCCTCAACTCAAGCAGTCCTGCTCCCACAGAGGCTTAGTCTCATAGCTAAGAACTTTTACGATCTGCAATGGGAACGGCAAATAAGGCAATAGAGGCAAAGAAATAGCAATTTTCAATGGTAATTTTTATGATTTA